AAAAAAGATTAGAAAATGAAATAACATTCCACTTTAATTAGCATAAAATAGCAAATACCTAGGAGTTAATGTCGTAAAAGACACAAGAATTTTACACTGAAAACTTGAAAGCACTATTGAGAGAAGCACTGTTAGTTTTCTTAAACAGGATGTATAAGAAACACTAACCATAAGACAGTTTTACAAGTTAAACTTTATTAAAGTTAAGAACTTCTGTTCCTTGAAAGATACCATCAAGAGAATGAAAAAGCATATCACAGACTAGGAGTTCTTTGCAATGCTTTTCTCTGACAAAGGATTTGTATGAGGAATATGTTTTTTAAAATTCTATAAGACGATAAGGAAAAGAAACACAACACAATTTTTCAAATGGGCAAAAGTCACAAATCAGACACTTCACAAAACGGGATACCAAAAGGCCAGTACATTCACACAAAATTACTCAACAGCATTAGTCGCTATAGTAACCCAAGTTTAACTCACAAGGAGATACCACCGGAATAGCTAAAATCGAAAAGACTGATAATACCAAGTGTTAGTGAAAATATGGAGCGATGGAAACTCCATTACATTACTAAAGGAAAGTTGAAATTGGCAAATCATTTTGGAAAAAAGTGCTTGGCAGATCATACTAAAGCTACATTACCTACCCTTTAACTCAGCGATTCTCCTCCTGAGTATACACCCGATAAAAATGAGAGCAGACATCCACCAAAAGACATATATGAGAATGTTAATAGCATCTCCACTCAAATTAGCCAAAAAACGGAAACAACCCAAATATCCATCAATAATTAAGTGAATAAATACACTGCTGCAGTGGAATATTACGCCAGTGAAGGAGCACGAAGTATAATACATTCCGCGATATATTAAACCCCAAAGACATAATGTTGAGTAAAACAGGTCAGGTATAAATGAGTACTTACAGTATGATACCATCTATATGAAGTGCAAAACCAGGCAAAACAAATCTGGTGACAGTGGTCAAAATAGGGATTACTTGGAGGGGCACTGACTGCCCCTCCCGTGTGACAGGGGTCACACGGGAGCTTTCTGAGGGGCTGGAAATGTTCTGGATCATGTTCTGGAAGGTGATGACATGGGCCTATACATAGGTAAAATTTCACTGAGCTGTACAGTGGAGATGTCTACATTTTATTGTGTCTAGTTACACCTCAAAAGAAAGACAATAAGATACTCCTTTAAAAAAATATGAGAGGATTAGCCAGATCAGCATGGTGGGGTAAGGTGAGGGGGGAAGGTAGGAGACGACATCACTGAGGGAGGGAATAGCATGTGCAAAGAAGGTCTAGAGGGAGAACTGGAAAAAGAGAAAAAATTCAGTTTGGCTAGAGTGTTGACTACAAGAAAGGAGTGGAGAAAGTGGAAGGAGAAGAGGCTGGGGAGGGTCGGCAGAGGCAACACTGGGAAGAGAGCAGGGTAGAACGTTTATCGCCACTGTTTGTGTGGTCCCTTGACTCGTCAGGGGTATCTAAGAGGGCCAAGAGAGGCCCAGCCTCTTCCATTTCGGGAAGGAGGGCCTTGCCTTCTGGCAGCTAAAACCCAAGCAGAGGGAGAAGAATGGCGATTAATAGTACATGTGTGGGGCAGATCTTACTGGGGTGCTGAAAACGTTCCAAGACTGATTTATAGCAATGGCTGCATAACTTAGTAAATTTGTTTTAAAAAAAAAATCATTGACTTGGGGAAAAAAAAAAAAAAAAACATTGACCTGTACACTTGAAAAGAGTGCTTTATGATACGTAAAATATAAGCCAATAAAGTTATTTTTAAAAGTCAGAGGCAGACCTTCCCCCCTCTTGATAGTCCCTGCCCCCAGAGGCGTTCCTGGCCCTCTCCCCCCACCCTGTCTCACTCTCGCTTTCCTCTGCCCCACCTTCGCCTGTGGTTTAGCTTGTGAGCACACACACCCATCCTCAGAGACACTACCCCACTGATGAGACACTGAGGCCCTGAGAGCAGACGGGAAGGGGTAACTATCGGTTCTGGATGCCTGCTACCTATGCTGTCACATAACGTGCCACCTGTGCTATTTTCATTCCCATTTCTCAGATGAGAAGATGGAGGGCCTGACGTGGAATGCTCGAGGTTTCATAGTCAAGGGCAGATGATATGAAGCCAGGACAAGAAGTCAAGTCACTGGACATGAAGGTGTCTACACGTGAGGGCCACTGTGGGCAGCCAATGGAGGGGCTGGGTGTGGGGGGGGGTCCAGGGCTGGGTGGGGTGACAGCTCTCACTCACCACTTTTTTTCTTTTCTTTTCTTTTTGACAGAAAGAAAGAGAGAGCATGCACAAATGGAGGAGGGGCAGAGACAGAGGGAGGGAGAGAATCTCCGCTCAGTGCAAAGCCTGATGCGGGGCTCAGTCTCACCAAGTGTGAGATCATGACCTGAGCAAAAATCAAGAGTTGGACGCTTAACCAATGAGCCGCCCGGGCGCCCCTCACTCACCACTTATTGCCACTGATGTCATGCTGCTGCACTGTGTAACCGAAGAAGGCGGCCCTGGAGCCAGCGATGATTCGAGGCTTCCTGGTGTCCATGTTGAAGGTGTCCGTGAACCCTGGGGTGGGGAGAAGAGGATAGTCAGGCAGGAAGAGGTCTGGGCCCCAGTTGGTTGATGGTCCCCACTGGCAGGTCTTGGGTGTGGGAGGAGTATGGTCCCCTGTCCTTGGGGAGCCGCCATATGAGGTGGTTAATGTAGTCCCTGCTTTGGGGAGCCCACAGTCTGATAGGAGAGGTAGGAGAGGCGCACCCCCTGCCCTGCAAGAGCCATAATCTGATAGGGGAGGCATAAAACCTACTCTCAAGTACACCAGGTCTGACTGGGAAGACCTGGTCCCTCCTTCTGAGAAGGCCAGTCTCATGGTAGGGGTGGGGAGAAGATAGCTCCTTTCCTCTTCCACTATCCCTACCTCCAACTCCACTCCTTTTAGCTTCTGCTGGTTTCCTCTTCCATTTCGTTCTCTCTTTTCTCTCCTTTCTCCTCCTCCTGTCCCTCCTGCTCCTCCCTCTCTTCCTCCCGCTCATCTCTGCCTGCTAAAGAGTCAAGGAACTGCCTTCCCACCTGTCCCCCGCCAAGCCTTGGTTCCTAGTGGCCATGACTCCAGCTCTACTGGCTCACCACCACCTTCTGAACTGATTTGCAAAGCTCTGCCTGACTTCAGTTGGGGGTCACTGCTCGGCTGGGGCAGTTGACGCAAAGCAGAGAAACAGTCTCGTAACCCTTTCACCCTGGCCTCTAAGGTTTTCCTTGTTTCGTTAGGTCACGTGTCAATGAACCGATTCCACCTGCCAGACAGCCTTGGTGTTGAACCTTTGGCATTCTTGTGCAAATCACAAGAAACAACAACTCACATCTGCATGGCAGCTTGGTTCCGGAGTCTCTTCACATCTGCCACCATTTTCCCTCACAGGACCTTGGGAGAATGAACAAGCATCATCCACATTTGGCAAAGGGGGATCCAGTGCCAAAGTGGTTACAAGGCTTGTCCAAGGGTGCACAGGGGGTCAGTGGTAGCAGCAAGAACGAGGACCTGAGATGCCTGCTCTTTGACTCCTTCCCTCCACGAGGCATTTTCAGGGCATGTCTGGCCTCCTTACCCATTATTAGTAGTAGGAACACCAAACTTGGGACCCATGGGACTTGAGGGGTGGGATCCTACCATCAGCCCAAATTTTCAGATTAGTGAAATACAATCAGTAGAATAGAATAGAATAGAATAGAATAGAATAGAATAGAATAGAATAGACAGAATATCACTTCCCCCCCCTTTCACGTATGTGTAGGGCGTGAAATACACGTTTATGTATTTCAAAGAACTTTTACATATATGTTACCCATTTGACCTCTATGACAGCCCTGTGACGTGGGTAGCAAAGGGTAGCCTGCGGGACAGGGACTCTGAATGTGAGGCTAGTACCTTGAGTGTCCCACTGTCCTGCCCATGGACACTGAATCCCCGGGCTGAGTATCTGAGGGGGATGCCCAGGGGCACCTACTTGAACAAGACCTATTGTAAAAGAACAAGTCGTTTCTTCCACACTTTCTTTTTTGCTCTGCGAATGGATGCAGTGGCCAAAAGTTTCATCATTAGAGTCATTGAATTAGAGTCCCGGAGGGAAAACTGGAACTCCTTGGAGTCGGGATATTAGATATATGTTATCTCCCTTGTCTATGTCAATTGGTTATTAGTGCTGCCTGGAGCACTGTGTTAAGAGAGATTCTGAGGTCAAGTCTGTGCTCGGTGGGCAAGACTAGTGTGATCAATGAGCGGGATGGATCCTGCCATGGAAACAGGAGAGGACAGTGGCAGCAAGCTGCTATGTAGCTGTCCTCATATTCCTAATCTGCCACAGGAATTTAGTGTCATGGCCCAGAGTGGGGCTGGGAGACGTACTTAACTCATTAGCGCCTTATTTACCAGGCCCAGACTCTGAACAGACTTATCAGCCTGGTTAGCAGCAGGCAGCCTCAGGAAAGGGGACCCTGGTCAGGTGAGCCCAGGGGGAGGAACCAAGGACCCTGGTTCTTGGCCAGTAAGGGCATGTCCTGGAAGAGAAAGGGACGATAGTGTCACCTATGCAGGGCTGGGAGGTGGGCAGCGAGGGGTCGAAGAAGCAGGGTTTGCAGACAAGGAACTCGCTCTCTCTCCAAATCCGTTCCAGGAGTGAACACACATACACACACGCACACACACATGCACACACATATACATGTGCACACGCAATACACGCGCGCACACATGCTTGTGTGCACACACACAGGCCTGTGTGCACACACATGCACATTTACAGGCACAGGCCACATCCCTGATGGTGTGCAACACTTTGTCTGGCTCCCTGGCGCCCCCTGGAGACACCCCATGGTGTCCCTGGTCCTCTTCTGTATCTGACCTCAGCAGGAGGAGGTGACCCTGAAGAAGGGGAAGGCACATTCTGGCCGTCAGGACCCTCCCACCATTTCCAGGCCTACAGGAGGGTGAGGGCCAGGGAAGATGAGGCCATAAATTGTGTCTTTGAGGTCCTCCCACTGCCAGTGCTTCTTGTGTGAACATGGCCAGGGGGTCCCTCCAAGATCTGTCAGATCCTGTTACTCCTCAGCCCCATACCCTCCACTGGGTTCCCACCCCACTCAGTCATAGCCAGACTCCTTACCTGCAAGGCCCTGTGTGACCACGCCCTCCCCGCCCCCGTGCTGTTCTTTCTTTTTATAAATTTTTTTTTAATGTTTACTTATTTTTGAGACAGAGACAGAGCATGAACAGGGGAGGGGCAGAGAGAGAGGGAGACGCAGAATCTGAAGCAGCTCCAGGCTCCGGGCTGTCAGCACAGAGCCTGATTGGGGGCTTGAACCCACGAATGGCGAGAACATGACCTGAGCGGAAGTCAGATGCCCAACCGACTGAACCACCCAGCCGCCCCTCATGCTGTTCTTTCTGCTCATTTCCTGTCCTCCCTCCTCCATCCATCTGCTCCAGCCACGCTTTCCCCACTGGTCGGTCCTAATGATGCCTCAGACCGCCCTCTGCTCAGCGCCTTTGCCCTGGCTGTTCCCTCTGCCTGGAACACTCCTCCCCGGTCAGCTGCACAGCTCACCCCTCAAGTCATCCAGGTGTCTGTCTCAGTGCCATCTTACCCACCACCGGGCCATCCCGTCACTTTCCGTCCCCCTTCTCCTCCATTTTTCCTGACAGCACTTATCACAAACATATTACATATTTATCTGTTTTTCATCATGCGGCTGATAGACCATAATATTCCTATGTTCTCTAAGTGGCAGGAAACACTGCTGTACCCTCAGCTTCTCCTTAGCCCTTGGTGCCTGGTCATAGGTATCGACTGACTGGATGGCTGGGAACCAGGCGCCACGTTGGGCTGGGATGCCCTCTCCCCTCCATGAGGAAAAGGGGAAAGAAAAGGATATTTCCTGAGCACTGAGATGTTCCGGGTATGATTCTAGGCATCTAACCATCGATTTTACATTAATTAGTTAGATCTTACATCAGCCCTGTGAGATAGGTATTATCCTACCTGTAGGAGGTTAAATAATTTGCCCTAAATCACTCAGCTGGGAGGAGATCAGAGCAAGTCCATGATCAAATAGCTCAGGGCACTGGGGTGATGTGTTACCCCTGGGAGACCAGCCTTTTATAACAAGGACCCAATAGGGAGGAGGGAATATTTTTTTCAGAGAAGGGGGTCTTCCCTGCCCTCTGCCCTCAGGGGCCACCTCCTCTGCTTTGGAATTCTGCTGGGAGAAGGAAATGGAGAGAAGGCGGATCCCTGTTCTCCTTCCCTCACCTGGGGGTCTGTCTAGGACCAGTCTAGTCTCCCCTGCACCCCCACCCCCAACCTCCTGGGGATAGGATTAGTGAAGCCAGCCACAGGCTAGAGGACAAAAGCCCTCAGGGCCAGGGTATTAAGTTACAAAGTGGTGGTGTCCTCACTGGCGTGGGCATTTGCTTCTGATCAAACCAAGCCAGAGAATGCGTTTCCTAAAAGTGATGTCAAGTCGGATGCTCTGACCTCAGCTTCCAATGAGATCTCTGGCCCACTCCTCTGATGGCAGATGGCTTTCACACGTGGGGAATGTACTCTTCTCCGAGATTTACGATCTCCAAATACCAATAAAACAAAACAAAGTTGTTTTTGACGGGAATCGACAGGCCAGTCGCAGAGACGCTGGGAGACTGGCTGCTTTTCTGCCCTTGCTATTGATGACAGAGGGTGGAAACCCACAATTCTTGGGCTGCTCTCCTGTGGACTGTGGCCAAAGTTACATCAGCTTTTTCAGAAGCTTATCTGTATTTTTAAAAAGCACCAGTCAGTCCCTAGAAGGGATGGAAATCACAGCCCTGAGCTTGAGTACCACTGCAGGCTAAGGTGAACACCATGGCCCCGTTACCAGGTGGGGTAGTCCCAGTCCCAAATGCTGAGGCACGCTGGCCAGCACGCATCCAGAGCTCCTTTTGGCCAACAGCTCCATTGGGAGCCCTCACTCTAGCTCAAGGTCGGCTGCTGGGCTTCCATGCTGCACTGGTCCATTTTCATGGCTCACCCCCCACTGCCCAGCCCGGTCCCAAATCCTCCACACGTCTGCAGACTCACTTGTGCTAGTTTTCCTCTGGCTGCCTGCGTGCAGTTACCAAGGGCCCCTTTCTGCTCCCTAAGATGCCCCTTCCTCCCGCTCTGGGGCCTTTGCACTTGCTGCCTCTCTGATGAACTTCTCATCCTCATCAAATCTCAGCACAAATGTCACATCCCCTCTCATCCCCAGAAGCCTCCCTGACCCCCGATTATACCAGGTCTTGCCTGATGATCTCATCACCTCTTGTACTCACCAGTACAAGTGACGTCTTTATTATCACAGTTAGTAGTTGGAACTGGTGTGATCATTTGGTTGATGGCGGCTCCACGAACGCCAGATAGGGTCTGTTTACTCACTGCTGGCTTCAGCACCCAGCCCGGGGCTAGCCCCGAACAGCACTGAGGGGTGAGCAAGACAGGAAGAGAGTGGGGAGCCTACCAGATAGGGAGAGCTGCGTGGAGAGAAAGTGCAAGGCTGTGACCAGTCTGCCATGATGCTTAGAGAAGGCAGGGACCATGGTGGGCTAGGGCAGCCAGGAGGCTTCTGGGGCTGTGATCTCAGCCTGGAAGGTTGATGCATACAAATTGGTGAGGTGGCCCAAAGGCAGTAGGCAGGAATTTCTGGTGTGAAGGGAAGGAGAAGAGAAGAGCCTGCCTGGCACAGGTGTCAGAACTGTCTAGCTCCTCCTGCCCTCCTGCCAGACTCCTTGAGGGTGAGTCCAGGCAAGGAGACAGCATGGCTTTTGAGATGAGGGAGGGCTGGTTAGAAGCCTGGCTGCAGCATTCATTCGCTAATGGGCAACCCAGGGCTAGTTCCTTCTTCTTTCTGGCTGTTAGTTTACTCATCTATAAAATGGGACTAATAATGCCCACCTCCAAGGGTGGGTGACGAGACTGAATGCAGTACCCAAACTGTGGCAGTGCCTGGTAGGTGGAAAGCACTCAATACATCTTGGTTGAATTAAATTGAATCAAGATTCCCTGTTCTCTGGGCTGCCTCAGTGCCTCTGCCCACGCTGTTCATCTGCCCTAGGAGGCCTTTCCTTCTTCCTTCTTCCTTCCTTCCTTTCTTTATTCCTTTCTTTCTTTCTTTCTTTCTTTCTTTCTTTCTTTCTTTCTTTCTTT